GGGGGGGTTGGGGGAGGAAGAGAAACTATATATAACGATGATACCGGGTGACAGTGCATAGATATCGTAAACTTGGAAGATTTAAACTAGTTCTATCTGTTAATATACTAAACTTGACTCCGTCTTTAGGATATTGAATTATTAAGAAAAAAATAACTTAAATAATTTGGACACTATGATGTCTAGAGTTCTAAATAAGGGGGAGATAAGCAAGTAGTAATATGCAGCTTGGAAACACTCCATAAATATTTTGGCTGTTAGTCAGTCTACTAATATACAGACTGTTTTATATTCTACAGCCAGTCTTGTAAGACTTACCTCCCTTTATATCTGTGTAGGAGGGAGCGTGCATAGGCTTTGCCTATAGCCCAATTACCTTTTTTTCTACAATTTTAACAATAATTATTTCTAATGAATATCAAATCGGATAAAATACATTACCTTTTATCAAACGTTTGGGTTTCTCGGTTCCTGAGACTGTTAATGATGTTTAAAATTCCTATTTCATATTTTAACAAATCATTTCATGCAGGTGTGCCATTGGCGTACTAGAAAAAGGTAATTCGTAAAGGGTATATATAACTGAACGGTGTCTAAAAATATTATATGATTTATGTCTTAAGGGGATTATGACGTTTTGTGTATTATTTTGTAAGAAGTGGTGATAACGAAATATTTTATATTAAAAATTAAATTAATAGATTTCAGCGAGTAAAGTATTGACAGGCTCGTAAAAATGATTTGTTAATTCATGAACAAAATACACTGATATAACACACATATTGGACAGCACCTATAACATTGGTAATTGATACCGTATACCTGAAATAAATTGCATTGCACGACACAGCTGTTTCGTCCTTTAAGGACACATCGGGGATGTTAGGGGACGAAAAGTGGGGAATCTGAATTGGTCTAAACTACGGTGGAAACAGGTTGAGGAGGTGTATAAAACCCATTAATTATATGAATTTCAAACAATTAGAGGAGTGATAGCTAATTGCAAATAAGTAACGACATAAGTGTGTATACTAGGATATATGGCAATTAAGGTTACGGCAAACTTCAGGGAGTAAGAAATCCACCGAAATGCGATAATCAAAATAAGTCGGATAGACTGCATGTTTTACTTTCCCTATGATAAAAATGACAACATCACAACTCAATTCTATGACATGTGTCATATCTCTTCCAGTACAGTGTTGGTCACATGACATTTTCCTTCAGTATGATAATTATGTCGTCATCATTAACAGACTATGACTTACATGAATATGATGACCTCATCACTACCGAACTCCGTAACAGGAGTAATGACAATATTTTCATTATTATTTTCTTACCTCAAAAGTATCAGCCCAGGCTTCCCCGCTGATGACGTACTTGTGACACGCTCACTTTCGCTCTCCGCACACCTGGAAATTGTCATATACACATTGGAAGCACACGGTTAGCTATTTGATTGGTCTCAGGTAAAAAAAACAAGTGACCAATCGCTTGTATGACTCATTGTCCTTTAACGATAACAGAGAAGAGACACCCAACGTCAAAGCCTTGATTGACTTATGAATAGGAGGTGGTTCAGGGATCCTTAAATTTGAAATGAACAAAATATAATATACAAAAACGTTCTGAATGTGAAAAAGCCGCAGTGCTTTTATAACGTCAGGCTGTCTTATAGTCACAAGAAATTCAAGGCAAAGATTTAAAAGTTTAAGTCAAGACAGAAAGCCAACAAACACTTTCACAGTGTCCTATGGTCATTTTGTCCATTTCAAACCCATCAATGGTACTTAATGCCAAACGAAACAATAAGAATCTCTGTTTGTTATGGCCGTCAGGGAAATTATTGAAGTATTTGGTACATTGGATAGATTGTGATGTTCAGGCAAACTTCTGCTTTAATCCACATCCGTGTTTGTGTTTTATTGTCGATGTAAATAAAATGCTTGAACTACAATATTGTTTATTAACAGGTAAAGCAAGCGATTAACTGACGTAGATTATTATAAAAGGCACTAATTTCCATTAAGGGAATCTCCCGTTTAATTTTACTTTTGAAAATAAGAACGATACAGAAAATAACTATTTTTAAATCTGTTCAACAGACAGAGACGTCTAGCAGTAAGTGTGTTAAAATCAGAAGGATTGAATTAGTGTATGATATAGAGTTGTGAATACGAGCAGTGTTAGGCGGTATGACCGAAACAGTCCCTTGTCCTCGGTAATAGTCTCTGGTCCAATCGTTACGTCTCATTATTAAACTTGTGACACTGTAGAGTTAAATCGAAGGAATGGTGCCAGGTTAAAGGAATACACAAACCCGAATACAAATGTTCAAATAACAAATGTAAATACAAAAAAAAAGTGCTACAGAATCCAAATGTCCCTGAGATTTCATCTCTCCACCAGCCAGATAAAAAATCACAATACTGACTGCTATGGCTACTGAGGTATTTAAAGAATTATATGTAACTGGAGAATTACAATCTCAATATGAAGAATAAAAATAACCAATTTAATGGTTGTTCTAAATATTAACCATACAACAAGCACATAATAGTGACTCTAAACTATTCTATTATTCTCTCCAATTCACTCTTAGTATAGCATGATCCAATACATTATAATGAATGATCTTTCAAATAAACAGTTTTAATTCACAGTTCAGATACACAGTTTTGTTCAGAACGTTACATATTGGAAGCCACTGGATCCTTTACCACTTCACACAAATGAGAGAATCCCGGCGCGTGAACCCCAGTTGTATCGCCGTCCACGTTGATGTGCTGCTCGAGCCGTAGAGGGATGGTCCGTTTTGTCGGCTATAGACGTACACTCAGATGTCCTGATAAAGTTCAGATCGTTCGCCCATGTTATGTACGTTGAACTGGTACTGCCTGGGCTCAAGCCATGACCAGCTGTCCTATAAGACCAAAACTATATGTTGACTATCTCGATACACGTTTGTTTACATTTTATAGAGAAAGCCCCTGATTGACACCGGAAGTGAAAGCTACCTTTATGACCTTCGATTTACACTTCAGATAGAAAAATACAAAATATTGCCAAATTACTCGTTGACAGCTAAATATTACATGTAACAACTCTTCTTTTGCTGACATTTTACAAACAATTTAATGTATAATTAATACTTTACAACGTTGTAAAGTTTGCTTAATACGTATACTGTACACACGTGTTCGAGCAACCAGCCCAAGTATCACTTCACTTACAACAAACATTAGCGAATTGCTACTTTAAACGGATATGACAGTCAAATATACTTAATCATTCATGGTTATTGTAACAAAATATAACTTGTACTCACTTTTCCATGGCCAAAACTAGCCCTAAACAGCAATACATTGACATTTTCTCCCCCTCGACAACAAGCCCGTCGTCAAGGTGAATGTTTTCTCCTCTACCCGGAGATCGGTCTTTCTTATTTCTGATTGGCTAAAATTGGCTAAAAAACACACTAGTTCAAGCTTACCGACAAACATAAATGGTGAAATATAAACTTCACTTTACGGACGTATGATGAATTATACACAGATACACACATGTTATATGTCATCCAGTTTTCATCTGTCAAAAAGCTAACGAAAATATCATAGAAACACAAAAAGCAAGATGAGGAGGAAAAAAACAAAGATATAGAAAATGGGGTGAGGGTGTGTGACTGGGATAGATCAAATTTGGTTTCTCGATGTAACCAAGACGTGTGTACAACACGGAACGTCTGATTCAACAGTCAGGGGTTCCACATAAGTCACAACTTATAACATACAGTGCAATTAAACACGCGTTGTTGACATAAATGTTTTGCTTTGTACCTTTTCTTCTGAATCCAAACGAGGTGTAATGAATTAGGAATACAACCCGCAGTAATGTCTAATACATGTAGCATCGTTCCCTAACATTAGGTAACATCAAAGAGGTTTTAACTTAAGAATGACTAACCCAATGCTTGCTTTACATGGTGTAGGGTTAGAACTTCAAGAATCGCATTCCTAAGGCTGTGCTTTCTCTGCAATCCCTTAATTGCAAGAGATGATTATATAACTATCGTTCGTTGAATGCAGCTTTTCAAGACCTCTTCAAAATAGAAAAAACATTTTTGAGAAGAGGACGTTCAAAATTATCAAAAGATCTGTTGAATTTTTCAAACTCCACGTTACATTTATTCCACCTACCGAGTATTTAGAGTCATAATACGACTGTTACCCAGATCAAATGTTACTAAGAATGGTACAAGAAGTTTGTATAATGGCTTGGTTGAGCACCAAATATTATTGTTGTAAAATTTCAGAATCAAATAAAAATAAGGCAGGTCCGAATCCTTATCGTTAGTGGGTATTCGGAAAGATTGTACTGCAGAAGCATAAGTACTAGTCTTCCGAAATGTATGATGATAGGGTTACCATGGTTATAAAGCATTCTAAGTTCTATTTTTGCAAGCAGATAATGAAATAGTGGTTGTAGACAAAGATTAAAATATTAGCTGGTTTGTCTGCAAACACAAATACACGAATAAGGAAATACAAACTTGTTTTTTTCTTTTCCTTTGAGATTTTAAGGGGCTACTTTCATTTTTCCTTTAGTATTTAACGTTAAAAACGCGCTCTATAAGTACATTTGTAGGTGTCGTCCCAATATGCATAGAAAGTGGCCACATTATCCAAATCCACTAGCCTACCTTCGACTGATATCATATGCGAGCTAAATAAGGATAGGGCTGGGCAGGGGAATTAAAGGATGATTCCGTACTTTGAGTAGCTTTGGAAGATCATACCGCTTCACTGCGAGGGGGGTCCTCTGACTGGGTCTATGATCTTTTGTTAGTTCGAATTTTCCAGAACACAAACTAACCGTTGTTGTATTACATGTACCACTGTTAAATGTAAGCTTGAAAGACGAAAAATGTGTGTGTAAGTACATGCCTACTCGCGATCGAGCCCCAGGCAGCTACGCTACTGACTGTCAGTTAATACCTTCTTGGTGGGCTTTGTTACACCCACTTCTATATCCTCTCTTACTGGTGGTGCCTTGTTGCAATTGTGGGGTAACATTTGTGGGATAGATAACAATCGTTGGTGTTGAGCGTCCTATTAACGTCCTATTAACAGATATGGCCATTAAAGGTCGTGCCAGGTTTTGGTGGTGGAGGAAAGCCGGAGTTCCCGGAGAAAACCGTCGTAAGATCATCCATCGTTGCGAATCAGAATTATTCAATATGGGTCTGTTAATGAGGCATACCTTTAATTGTAATGGTACTTAATCTTTTGGCAACCCCCCCCNGATGTAACTGTTGATTATTTGTTGTTAACTCATTCACCCCTGAAATTTCATTATGAACTTTTCCAACTTTTGAATTAGAAGAGTTCAAGGTGTCTTCTGGGTAGAATGAGGTAATGTGGACGTAGAATAAAATTAATAAACGACATTCTCACTTAAATCAGTATTTCCTTTTTTTTTTCTTTCTTTCATTGAACATTTCTTTCCACGAGCACTACTGGACATTAATAGTTCTGAACATATCTGGCGTGATATATTATTATGTACAGGTACAAAGAATAAGAAGAATAACAAAAAATATAATATGTGTAAATGTATTACTTCAAAACAGGAACCCTATGCAGCGTTTTTTGTAAAAGTTTTGGGTAAGGTTGAATAGACATATAAATGATAATATACACAGACTTGGCTGTGCTCTTTGTTATTATACTTATGTATGGGTTCTATTAAATTGTAATCCATTTAAATTGTAGGACAGACTACCGGATATAGTGACGTCTTCTTACTTAACCAATTAACTATTCTCGTCATTCAAGTTACCGGACGACAAAATGGCGAAGCTTTTAGGGATCTGTGTCCTTCTTTCCTACCTCACAGGTATGTGGTCTTTTTATCATGTATATCTAGTTCTTTGAATACGCAAGAGCTTTCTTAGATTGAAACTCCTTCAGTTAAGACCTTCCATGAAATAACATTACTGAAGATAAGGATATTTTCCTGAGGATTTTTGTGTACACAATTTATCCACTATAGTTTTACAGGTGAAGGGCAAAACTCAAACTCGGCTAGTAGAGATTTTACAGTGAAGGGCGAATATTTAAGTGGGCGAAAATTTCCCGGTATACACGTAGTACGTTCTAATGAAATAAACTTAAAGCTGACAGTGCAAATTAAAAATGTTTTTTTTTCTGGTTTTGAGTTCTTCTCCATCTCTTTGGTCTATCGTTTCTAAGGAAGTGCCGACATATTAGTTTGTCTTTGCTTGGTAACGAGTGTGGGTCTCGCTGGGTATAAAAAGCGTATTACCTGTCAAACCGGTTATCATTTGTTCAATATGTGCGCAAGGTAAAAATACTATACTATAATATGAAATAGGCACTGCCTATAAGCGAGTGCACACCTTTGTAATGATAGTGACTAGATCTGGGCGCCTGTGGCGCCCCAGCTAAGAACTTTAGGGTAACAAAACGAACAGAATCCCTTCTTAGGACATACATGCGCTAAATATTCTTCCATGAAAATGAAATGAATGTTAGTTTAAAAACTATTCTTTTAATTAAAACTGTCAGATATTCCATTTAGGCCTTTTCGTTGTTACTTATTTACTTTTATTTTAACACCCTTGTCAATATATTGCCTGATCCCTTTAGGGTAAAATTTTCTCAAGACGAAATGAAGGAAATAGGATCTACTGTACATAGAAAATATGTATTAACAAGGCAAAGTATTGCAAGGCAACCCATAGACCCCCATGGCCACCGGTAAGAATTTCTATACACAAGCCTAGAGGCTAGATTGAAAAAGCTACTAGTGATGAACTGTGATCTTTTGTACCACTGTACCAGTATCTTCAGAAGCCAGATGCTGCAATAGATATAAACAATTACAACACAGAAATGATAATTATACAAAAAGTGATATCACCAAGTTATACTAGAGATACATGGACCTATTATGTTATTTGTTGTAGTGATGTAAAATTCAAAATTCAAATAATTAAATCATATAATCCAAAAAAGACTTTTTGAAATCCTTGAGAGAAATTCATGTTGGGACTGACCAACAATTAATATTGATATATCATTTATGGTGGGTACATACTTGTCTGACATATCGCTGACAATTTTCAGAAAAAAAAATGATATTGTGGAAGAATGATTGACACGGGGGTAATGCAATAACAATTTCAGATAGCGACTTAGGACCTTTCCATATCCATGAAGAGTGCTTGATTCTAGTATATCTGGATCTGAAGAAGAAGATTGCTAAAATTTCAGCCAATTTGCCCTCTTTGGCCCCTGTCTTCAGGCCCTAGGGTAGGGCCACGTTCTTAATTTTCCTACCATCAGAATTCAGTCACATGATAGTCATTCCAACCAACTTTGAATTTGTTCCCACTGAAAGTAAACAAAATAAAGCCAAAGGTGTTATTTCACCATCTATACTACAGAAAGGCCAAAAACAAGATTACTTATGCTTCGGATAACCTGATCATAACCTACCTTTAATTTTCCTGTGGACCTTAGGGAACATTTTATCACAGAATAATAACCATTGAAATACATAGAAATTCATTTTTCTAACATTTGTTATTACCCTGTAAGTAAGTATATATTGATCCATGAAAAAAAGGAATAAAATGAAATTGCCTGCTACTGACCAACCCTATTTTTCTCTGGAATGTTGCCTGAAAAACATTTTTTTTTGTTTTATCTTAAATATTAACCCTTTCTCAATGAGATATTCATAAATTTGAAATAGGCCTACATGACCTTTCCATTTATGAAGAGTATTTGATTCTAGCATCTCTGTGCCTGTGTGTCATTTTGACCTCTTTTTTGCTCAAACCCCTGGCAGATTAGATCCACATGTAATTCATAAATTTGGCTTGCATTTGACCATGGAACTTTCCTTCAAAAATAAACTGAAGTGGTTACTATGACGGACAAAAGGCATTTACAATAGGTCAACACCAAGACTTAAATAACTAAAAAAAATCAATTTTCTAGCTGAAGTTCACAAATCATAAATGTAAAACTCACTGCCTACTAAGATGTTCGAATGTCCTGTTGTTGTATGAATGCAGTGAAAAGAACAAATTAACAAGGATACATATATCTATATAAATGGGAAATATAATGGGAAATGAGTTGTATATAATTAGTTGTTCATGTTTATATATGTTTGCAATATTTACATAATTTCAATTTGTACTATTATTTCCACCAGGATTTGAACCTGGGTCTCCCACCGCAGAGTGGCGAGTGTGATGACCCCTAACCTATAGAAATATCTATAGCATAACTGACATTTTCAGTCAAGATTTATTTCCATTTTTAAATGTTTTAACCTTTGAATTTATATTTACATTCTTCCTCTGCTTTTCTTATATTGGAAATTAGAATACCGGTATGAACCAAGTTTATGCCAGGCTCAGAACTACAATTTGCAATGTGAAAATAAATATTATGAGGGTTTTTTATTCCAAGATATAAACCAGTAAAATAAAAAAGATCCTAAATTTTCCATTCATTTTAAGTATGATTCTGCAATATAATTGTCAAAAATAATATTGCACACATATACTGGCACATGCAATTCAAATCTGTATATAAGGTTATTCATGACGTATTATCACGGTTCTCCCCAGTTGAATCTCTACATTTACCTGTAGTTGACAGGGGAATCCCCTTCAATTCCCATAATAAGAACCTTCATACAATATATTTCAATTTTAGATATCTCATTAACCAGTATTTAGCTATCAAAATGGTGAAACGATATCACATTGACACAGGTGCGGGGGCATAAGAAGATATGTTGTTAATATGACTACAGGTATAATATACCTCTATACCAAATTTATGATGAATTGAATTTTACGATCGGCGGCATGGCACGTGTTTGTACTAGCCTGTACACTTAAGAAAGCATCGCCAGACAATATCTTTAAAAATATTTACTTCAGTAAGCGACATAAGAGGACATGTTATTAATAAGACTTTTATTGGTATGTATTCCAGATTTCAGCTAGATGTTGAACAAATAACCGAGTTCTGATGAATCGAATATTTACGATCATGTGAGAGTAGAGCTCTTGAGTTCGTGAAGCGTTTTCAGATATTACCTCTAAAACTAACCTATAAAATAAGCGACATTAGAAGATGTTATTCCACATGGGCTCGGTTTCAGGATACTTTTGATTAGTAATAAACCTATACACACCAGTAAATAACAGCAACACTTTTAATTGAATCCGGTGTTTATACACATTCTAAAACCTTATAACAAGAGTCCCAGAGGGCCTATATCGCTCACCTGAATATTTAAGCAGTCATAGCAAAATCCTCTCATTAACTATTTTATTGCACTACAAATATCTCCCTCGCAAACTTTGTCGGCTCCATCTGTTGTAACTAACAGTCAAATAATTGTATAAGATTCCATACCTCTTGGTTTTTCGTCAGAAGTTGTTTGGCATATTTTCCCCTGTGACCTTGAAAGTAGGTCAATGTCATTTTCATTTGTTAGCTCCATCCGAAAAAGCTACCAGCCAAATCTTATGAATCCAATCCTTTTGGTTCTTCAGGACATATTGTTTGAAATGTTGTTAACCTCTGTGACCTTTAAAGAAGGTTGAGGTCATTTTCATTTGCAATCTTTGGTTAACTCTATCCCAGGAAGCCAACAGCCACATATTATAATGTTATGCCTTTCAATTATTCAGAAGAAGTCGTTTGATGTTTTGACATATTTGACACCTGTGACCTTGATAGTAAGTCAAGGTCATTTTCAGTCTCAAACTTTGTCGGGCTCTATTCAAGAAATCCAACAGCCAAATATGAAGATTCCATACCTTTCTTCTGAAGACGTTGTTTAAAGCGTTTGACATAATTGACCGCTGTGACCTTGAAAGTAGGTCAAAGTCATTTTCATTCTCAAACTTTGTCGGGCTCTATTTCAGGAAGCAACCAGCCAAATATGAAGATTCAATACTTTTTAGCTCTTCAGAAGAAGTTTTTTTGAAGCGTTTGACATATTTTGACCGCTGTGACCTTGAAAGTAGGTCCAAAGTCATTTTCGTTCTCAATCTTTGGAACTATCCCAGGAAGCCATCAGCCAAATATATAGATTCAGGTACCTACTGCAAAAATATCATGACCCTATGCCTTATGGAACTTGAGAAGAAGATTATTAAAGTTTTGAACATATTTGATCCCTGTGACCTTGAAAGCAGGTCAAGGTCATTTTAATGAGGAAACTATATAGCACTTCATCCAAAATACCTACTGGCACAATATTATGACCCTTGGACTTATTGAACTTGAGAGGAAGATTGTTATAGTTTAAAAAAAAGACATCTGTGACCTTGAAAGTAAGTCAAGGTCATTTTGATGAGGAACATTTATAGCACTCTAGCCTAGGTATCTACTGGCAAAATAGTATGACCCTGTGCCTTTGGAACTTGAGAAGAAGATTGTTAAAGTTTATAACAGATTTGACCTCTGTGACCTTGAAAGAAGGTTACGGTAACGGTCATTTTAATGAAAACACTATATTTGACCCCTGTGACTTTGAAAATAGATCAAGGTCATTTTAATGAGGAAACTTTATAGCACTTCATCCCAGGTACCTACTGGCAAAATATTATGACCCTGGGCCTTATGGGACTTGAGAAGAAGATTGTTAAAGTTTAAAACAGATTTGACCTTAAAGAAGGTTACGGTCATTTTATGGTACCTACTGGCCAAAGACATAACTCTGGGCCCTCGAATTCTTCAGAAAAGTCGCTCAAAGAAAAAATTGACGGACGACGTACCAGGTGAGCTAAAAATTGAGGGTATAACTAAAACCTCGGTACCCTCATTTATAAGAAA